GCATCATATTTTCTCTCAACTCTTTTTAGCTTTTCTGACCCACTTCAGGTCTTAAAGTCTCTATTAATGAGCTGACGAGTTAATTTGGGTGTGTTAGATGAGTGAGACAGTGCTGGGCTGCTCCAGGACAGTTTTGAAAACCATTTCAGAGACATGTTCTTAAATGTGACTCATATAAAATATATTACATGCATGCACAGTTTTAAGGCAGCTTTAATCGCCTTTTTGGTAACTTCATGACTTAACTGACCACGACATTGCATGCACGTAGTTTATTTCGCGCTTTGATATGAAAGGATACAGGCTACAGCGTGTGCCGGCACCTTTGTGTGTGCAATTGAAGAGCACGCACTGCGAGCACAGTACCGTTTCCGCGCTCGTTTGACTCGCGCCAGGCGCTGAAGTGAAGTGGAGCGCGTCTCCCGTTCTCAGTCGCTCTGCGACTGAATAAATGCACTTCTTGTCAAGAGAAAAAGTGACCGAAGCAGCAGTTGTGAGTGGGGTGGCCAAACCTAGCCTCGCCCCTGCGTTAATTGCGTTAAATATTTTTAACGCGCTAAACTGAAAAAATTAATCACCTGCGTTAACGCGCTAATTTTGACACCACTAATAAATATAAATATATACATGTAAATACATGTAAATATTTTCAAAATATATACTGTATGAGTATGTATTTATATATACATAATAAATATACACAGTACACACACATATATTATGTAAACAAAAACTTTTATTTTCAATGCGATTAATCGTTTGACAGCACTAGTTTTTAGATTAATATTACTTGATACCTCAATAACTCAGTCATGAAAGTTGCTAACAAGTTGCTTGAAGTCACAAGAAACGAAAGTAGCGATATTTTCTTTCATATTTTGATGTATGAGTGTAACTGATTATCGAAAAAGAAAACATATGGATAGGACATATAGGACTTAAATACTGTAGGCAGGGACTTGGATATATGCATTGGTTGTTGATTGGATTTTGCACTCAAACTGAAGGCAGATGAATCACCAGAGAGAAGTCTGTCATGAAAGATCTTTCAATGAATAGAGCTGAGATAAACCATGAGATTTATTCATGAGATGAGGTTAAAAAGGTTAAAAATCTTAAATGAAGACTGCAACTATCACAAGGATGTGTTTACATGCTTGATGAGTCAACCATTAAAGTCCTTATATAGCAACATTTAAAAAACCAACAACAGTGACTTCAAAATTCATGTTTGAGGTTTGACAGTCTGTAATTTATTTTGTAGGGCATAAGGTGGAATTTTTTTCAAGTAATATTCGTGACAGACATTATATTACTCGTAAATCCAAACCTGCTATTCTAAAAGCAAATAAAAAAGTTCTTGAGGGAAGCCATCACAAAGGGTTGGCTCTACATGACAAATGGGAACAGCTCTATTCAATGAAGTTTCTGGCTCAATATCAGAAACATGATTTGACACTTGCACTGAATCTGTTGCAGTAGATTTTAATAATCAGTTTTAATAGTTCAACAGTCACCATTGTGTTCCTCCTTTCAAAGGCACATTGTTTCTTTGAATAGTTAGCAATGGAAACCTTATGTATTGTGTTTGCTTCTGAGTTTTTTTTTTTTTTTCAGTCTTGTTTTGAGACAGATGTCTGAAAGAAAATTGAACTGAGCCGCTGCTGAGTTTAACAAAGCATCAGTCACAATCATGTAAATTGTTTTCACTGAGGAAAGCATTCAGAATAAAGTGCTTTTCAGTCATTGTGTGATTTGTGTTTGCTTTGCAAATCACAATGAGTCTGAAATGAGTTTAAAATTGCCATTGTAAGCACAGTATCAAACTTAAAAATCATTTTGGATCGAAGCCATATGATAGCCATGTGGGCAAGTGCTCTGACATATGGTGAGGTTGCTTTTTTGGGCAACTTGAGTTTTAGTCCTGGCTTGAGGTGCTTTCCCGGTCAAATTGCCCTCTTCCATGATTTTCTGTCTGTCCTTCTACTATCTAAAATTAAGGCAAAAATGTTAAAATTAAGGGGCAAATGAAGTACATATATGTTTCCCATGATGTAAATATCTATATTTTAAGTTGAGATGTCATTTAACTTAGCTGGGACTGAAATCTCATCCAAAAACATGTCAGGTCGTGTCCCTGACAAAATCCACCAAATAATAATTTCATATAGCTATGAAGTCATGTCATTCGTATTCGCAATGCACTGCTGTTGTTAAAGCCACTGAGAGTCAGTACTCTTGTAGGAATTTCTTGTCCAGACATGATCTGCAAATAAAAAAAATGATTCTGAAAACAACTCCCAAGGAAACAAGCAACGTTCACGGTCACTATGACAACTTGCACAGAACTATAATAGCAGGGGAATCCTGGGAAGAAGAACAGAGCTCTGTTTCTGGTGTCATTTTCACAGGTCTGCTGGGTAGCAGCTCTGTTCTATAAAAGTAATGAATCCTCAGCCTGGAAAGAGTTACTCACGAGAAAATTACTGCATTAGCATGAGGTGTTGACTATGTGGACTTCATAATGATATGACTGATGTCTCATTTTGTTGAATGTGATGTTTTGTTTGTTTCTCAATGCAGTATGTCCCAAAAATTGTTTATTTCAAGCAAGAATTCAAGAATGTGTCTGTTCCTTTCTAGCTGACTACTGTGAGAGTATAATGTGATGCCATATCTTATGATCATTATCATCTTTAGTGTGTGGAGACCATCTCATCCCGGCAGACAGACATGCAGAGGTTTATTGCAGAAGGATGTAAGGAAGCTCTGCTAGAAGAGAAAAGGAGGTTCTGCTTCCTAGTGGAGAAACACTGTGCCTTCACCTATCAGCTAACAGCCTTCCATGACAAGGTGACCCACTGAAAATATTCAGCTTTCTGATTTAATAAATATTTAACTCACTGGTGTTTCAGTTAATGTTGTTAGACGTGGCAGCAAAAAGTAATCAGAAGTAATGGTACAATACTGTTGAAAAGTCTGGAGTTTATAAGATTTTTTATTTTATTTGAAAGAAGTCTCTTATGCTCAGCATTGCTGCATTTATTTGATCAGAAATACGGTAAGAATTGTAATATTGAAAGTATTATTACAATGAAAAATAACTGTTTTAATGTATAACATTTTAATATATTTAAAATGTTTGGAAAAATTTAAAATATAATTCATTCCAGTGATGGCAGTGCTGAATTCTCAGCAGCCATTACCCAGGTTTTTAGTGTCATATGATCCTTCAGAAATGATTCTGTTATGTTGATTTGGTGCTCCAGAAATATTTCAGATTATTATCAATGAAAACATTTGTGCTGTTTAATATTTTTGTGGAACCATGATACATTATTTTGATGGGAAGTTCAAAAGAAATCTTTTGTAATATTACTTTTACTGTAACTTTTGATCAATTTAATGCATCCTTACTGAATAAAAGTATTCATTTGTTTCCAAAAAAAATAATACTGATCTTTTGAATGGTAGTGTACCTTGTTTTGCCTTTCTTCTTTTGAACAGTTTTTGCATTTTCCCCCACAGGCCAAGGAGATGCTGACCGTCACACTGCCCAGCTGGCAAGATAAGTGTACCGATGCCTCCAGAGTGCCAGACACAGTGATAACCATGATTGAGGGTCTGCAGACTCCAATGTCAGTCATACCAGAGTACTCGCCTACATTGGAGCACAGTGACAGGGTTAGTCTCACACAGAAGAGAATGTACCACCATTAACATATGAGTATGTGTAAATGCTACTTTTTAGTTTGATAGCCACATAAAATTCAGTTGTTTAAGTAGAACACCAACTGATTGAGTTTTGTTCAAAACGGCACACTGACTTAAGGTCTCTGCGTTGTCAAATTTTTTTTTCTCCTCAGACCAATTCCGGTTCAATTGTTCCGCCACCGGCCCCATCACTCAAAGCCCACACAAGCCCACTGGCCAGCATGTTCTCCCAGGACGTTCCTAAAAGCCCCATCTCATCAGAGCTGTACTCAGGCAAGCTGACGGCTGCTTACACTTTGATCTAATCAGACTTCATTTCTTCTGCTCTCAACAATCAAGCGTACTAGTCTTTGTGTTGATGAGGCACTCCTTGAAATGTTGCTGTGATTACTAATCTAGCTGATTACTGCCACAAAATATATTTCGTTAATATCACGTAAATTGCACTTTGCAATCTACAGATCAAGACAGCCTAGACGGAAACGGCTTGTCTAGGTCTGAGTCTGTGTCTAGCGGTATGGATATGGCGAAGAAGACCAGGGTGCAAACTATCTTCCCCCACACAGCAGGGAATAACGAGACCCTGCTGGGCTTTGAAGATGGAGACATCATTACACTGCTTATTCAAGAGGAGAGGGATGGATGGCTGTATGGAGAACTAGAACATACTGGACAGTAAGTGAACCATTATATAGGACTGCTTATTTTTCCATCCTTAAAGAGATAGTTTGCTCAAAAATGAAAGATATTGCTATATTACTCACCCTCATGACGTTCCAAACCTGTATGACTTACTTTTTTCTGTGGAACATAAAAAAAAAAAAAGATATATATATATATAT